TTCATATTTAAAATTATTGTTCATTCATTTCTGAACTCATTCAAATTAACCTCGGTCATGATAGCCTCTGATTTTCTGCTCATGGATAAGGCGTTTATATAACGTCCTGTCATCTGGTTGTCTTATGTGTGTATATCCTAAATTCAACTGGGTTTACATCATGTTTGTATGTCTGCACAGCCACTGATATCTTTTGAGAAGACCTGATTCTGCACTTGATGGCTATAAGGTTACCTTCTCTAATACAGCAAGCTCTTTTGATGTTCTGATGTGACATGGGGTGCAAAGCTTCATTTGGTATTTCTTAGAGTGAGGCCAGTATGTATTAGGGTCACCACAGTGTTCCTCTTAGAACAAGGAATATATACACAACAATTTATATACATTGAAATGAATTCAACCACAACTTCAATCTAAATGCCATACATATTAAGAGAAAATAAAATACTCAGAAAATTATAAAAAGAATTTATTTTGAGTCATTAAAATTCATAGTTTACAAAACAAGAAAAAAAATTATTGCTTTTTGAGGTAATTTTTTTTTTTTAATCAGTTAACCCCAAGCAAGGCGATAATGCCACTAAGACGCAAGGGGTTACTGGGAGTGAAAAAGAATGAGAAGACTTTAGAAGGAATGGGAAACTAAACAGTAAACAAGGGATAAACTTCTGCTCCTGATCAAAAGACTGTGAAGGAGTGTGAACTGGATGAAAGGTGAACCTATTGATTCCTATTGATTAATAAAAATTAAATATTAAATAAGATGTCCGAGTTTAGGTGGAGAAATTGGAAAAATAAAGTAGTCTTTATAAGGAACCGGAAACCCAGCCCTATACAAGGAATAAACCCCTCCTCCTATAAAAAAGAGCAAAGAAGAGTAAGGTGACTTTTTTATAAAACTGTGGTATATTTCCTGACTAAGAGTCTTTCAAATAAAAAAAACACACTCTGAGACAAGGAATAATTAATTAGTTTTTTATGCGATTTTACTGTTCTCATCTTGGTTGTCATAGTTACAGCATCTTTGAGATAAGCAGTTAATTGTCCCTGAATATTGATAAGGAATTCAATTATGATTAAATCTGAACATTGCTACGATGTAATCACATCTGAACATTGCAAATAAAGTGTGATCAAAAAGAAAATGATAGCACTAGAATGGTGAAAATATGAATACTTGGAATTGTAATCAAGCATTTGCAAGTAAATCAGCTTTTGGCATTAAATAACCCCTGTGAGTGTTGATATGCCAGTAAACAAGATGAGAACTTAAACAAAACAAATCAAAATCACTTCCCTGCTAACTAGAATCTTCAAAAATCTAAATGCAACATCAATTGCTATCTTCTGTTTGTTTTTAATTCTGTCGTTTTTTTGTTCTTTCTTCAATCCTCCCTTTTTTTGGTGTGGGGGGGGGTCTCATTCTCTTTCATTTTCTCTCCCTGTAATTCCCCTTGCATTCTAGTGGCATTGTTGCCTTACTTGGGGTGAAATGATTAAGATAAAACAATCTGCAGAAATCTTTCAGTATAATTTCTTCATCATTTTTTTAGTGGTAGAAAAGCATAAATTAGTTTAAGATTCATTTTAATAAAGGAATTGGATGGTGATTTTTTTTTTTCAGCACTTAAAGTTTAATATAGCAACTACGAGGTGCATTGCCAAAGTTTTGAGACATTTTCAGGTGAGACCTTTATTAATTTCAAAAAGTTATAAAACTCTAATCTCCATCAAAGTCTGACTTCAATTTTGTAGTGCTCCAGCTGCTTTATGAATATCCCATAGAAGTCATCCAAAGTGAAGGTGTCCAGGACACATATCACAGCTTCCTTATCTTCTCAATGTCTTCAAAACAATTGCCCCTGAGGTTCTCCTTCAGTATGGGAAACAACCAAAAGTCACAGGGAGCAAGGTCTGGAATGTAGGGAGGGTGAGACAATTTTGACGGCCATGGACCATCTCCTTGCTGTCACCAATGCATCTTTCCTCCTGTTCATCACTGAATATCCAGAGAACAAACTTTGCACAAATTTTGCACATGTTCAGATCTTCATGAATAATTCTGTGTGCAGTTGCAACACCAACTCAAAACTCTATGCTTATTGTCTTTAGAGACACAATGGTCTTCATCCAGAAAATTATGAATATTTTCAACTATCTCTGATGTTTCAATGTCCTTCTTCCTCCCGTATATCTCACCTCTTCTCTATTGTCCTTGTGCCAGCAAAAAACAGATGCTCAGCTCGTATGACAATCCAAAAATAATCTGGAGGATTTCCTAAGTTTCTCTAGTGTTTGTGCCCAGTTTAACACAAAACTTCATTGCATAGCAAGCTTTCAAATTGTCTTCACCTTGTCAGTTGTGACAAGCAGTGTTTAGTACTGTGTTCAAAGAGCTGTTACAGCCATCTTCTTCAATCTGGAATAACAAAAATTAGAAGGTCAGCTTATTAGATATATAGCAATGGTAGACTAAAATTACTATTATTTAGGACATATATAAATGCCTCTTCTAAAAAAAAAAAAATGTCTTATAGAATGCACCTCATACTTCAATTAAAAAAATTAAGTTTAAAAAATCAATCACAAAAAGTAAATAAAATTAAACATCCATCTTAATACTAACTGGTAGTGAAAACCCAAATTTGGCAATGTAGGTTCAAACAAGAAGTTTCTCCACCTCATGTACAAATAGGGTCTTTGATATTGTAATGTTTGTTCAGAAAAAATGTTAAAATCTGCCTAAATTAAGATTTTTGTTTTGGTTTGGTTTATTTTGTTTTATGACTTATTGACCTCAATGGGTTATTTAATGCCAAGTTTGTATGAATAGAATAAGTATTTGTAAAAAATCAGTTTATAGATCAGATTTCATTAACATGTTTCTGTAAATAGGGTTTTTGTCAAGAGTCAAATGTATTGCTGGTAATATTTTTTTTTCAAAAATGTACTGCTGATAATTTTACTATAAAAATCTATTTTTATAATTTCATAGTATTTTGACTCCAGTTTGGGCTTTAACTATTTGCCCATAGCTGGGGCCCTATCAGGTGCTACCACCCTGGGTCAGGGCAGACCTGAGAACAGCATTTAAAAGGTGGTTCCATGCTCCTCGAAACCTCCCGAACAGAGGCCTTGCAGACAGATATAGTTTATCGTCATACCCAGTATGCTAAGACTTTTGTAAAATGAACAAGTTTCATTTTCTGTTAATCAGTTTCAGACAAAATAAAAACAGCTTTTTAACGAAAATTACTAAGATGCAATAACCCTATTGAGTGGATAGCAACTTAAATTGTAATGGAAAAAGATAAAAATCATGCAGCATTTCAAACATATATCAAATTATTAATCTGCAAAGTTTCAAGTATTAAGTATGTATAGTTATTAAGTTTTAAGAAATGTTACTCTTCAAGTAACACATATTCAAACAGAGCCAGGCATTTTTCTGTTAAATACTCATACCTATTCATGTGTCTATGATTAAGTCCACATGTCAATTATAAATAAAATTATCTTTCTAATGAAAGTTATTAAGATAGAAACTAAATTAAAATAAAATTTAATTAATTTATGAAGAAAGATAAAAATTATACAGCATTTAAAACATTATTAATATGTAAGAAATGTTTTAGTTATTTTTAATCATGTATAGTTATTAGAAATTTGATAGTCTTCAAATAACACACTTTAGAATTGAATTAAGTATTTTTCTGTTAAATATTTATACATATTTGGTGTTTGCTATTATGTTTTGCACATAAGGTATAATTAAAAGGACAGTGTATTTGAGTAGTTAGTCAGTGTCCAAAGCAGTCCATGTGATGGTCCAAGTAGCAGCCATCCATAACAGTCCAAGTCAAAGACATGGATTAAACCTTCCTGTGTCTAGTCTATTTCCTGTTGTACAAAAACTGATTTCATATGAAGGAACTGAACTATACAAAAAAATAAAAAAACGGAAAAACAGTTTTTGTAAAACACCAACAATTTTTGGAATATAAAAACGTTGTATTTTCACTTTATCTGCTTTTTAAGTTTGTCTTTCCTTCTTCTTTATGGACAAGTTGAATATTTTTACAAGGACAAATTTTCTCCTCTTCATCCTTCCCCAGAATAAAACTAATAACTTTAGATGCCCAAGAAAAAACAAATTAATATAAAATATAAACTTTTTTCCTGTTTTTTTTGGGGGTGGGTGCGAGTTGAATATTTTTACAAGGACAGATTTTCATCTTGTCAACTTTCTAAAATTAGAACTAAACAAAAATATATTATTTTTTAATAATTTTTAGTTTATTAATATTTGACCGTTGAAATGATTTTACGAGTCTGACTTCCTTTTCTTATTAAAACCTCCTGTTTATTGGATATTGAGGAAAATTCCGAACCTTCCGACTATTAAGACATCCACTCCAAAACTTGGAGTTGATTTCCAATGTTGATCACACTGACTCCGCCACGTTAAGTTTCTTGATCATCTTTTACATTCCTTACTAGAATATTTTAAAAAAAAAAAAACTCAAGGGAAGTTACTCAGTTAAAATAGAACCAAAGTTCTCTCCCCTGAAACAAAACTCAAGATTTTCTCGTATGTATTTATTATGAGATTAACAGGTTACAGTTTATATTTAAAATTTTTCTTTTAATTAATTAATATTTACTGATGTTTGTGCAATTAGAATTTTTACATTGTGTATCATTTAATATTATAATTTAAAATTGCTCATTTTCTCTTCGTTTTTATGGGATATCCCTTTGTCAATTTGTGTTTTAATTTGAAATAATTTTTCACCAGAAACTTTTCAACATCTTCTCTTTTAGATTTATAAAATAAATATAAGAAATTCTCCATAGTCCAAAAGAAAAATTAAAACAAATCCATCATTTTAAAAATATGTTAACCTAAGTTTCTGATATTAAATTTCAGAAAGAATAGAAAAATTAAAAAGATTGTTGTAAATTTTCTTGAATTGTTTTCTTGAAATTGTTTTCATATTTATGGCCATATCATGCTGAAACACCAGTTACTGTAAAAACATTGAAGTTAAGCAACGTCGATCGTGTTCAGTACCTCGATGGGTGACCACTTGAGAATACCAGGTGCTGTAAATTTTGATGTGCAGTTAGTGTAATGGATAATGGTTTGGAATTGTTAATCAGACTGAGTTTGTTACATTTATTTACATGCAAATACCCTTGGGAATGATATGAATCCACCTCTTCTCCCTCCAGCTGTGGGTTAATTAGTAAGAAGTATATCACTAAATTATTTTTATCTAAAAAAAAAAAAATTAGAATCTAAAAATATTTTCTGGCTTTAAATAACCTGCAAAGGGTTGATCAACTGTAGAAAATGAATTAATCAATGAAATATAGATTAGCTACACAGGCATTTCTTTTAGATTTATTTATATTCTCTAGAATATAAACGTAGAGAAACTACCGTGGCCACAAAATGAGGGTTCAATATATATATATATATATATATATATATATATATATATATATATATATATATATATATATATATATTTGATCTCCCACTTTATGTCCGGATTATTTCTTGTTTCTCTATCAAATTCTGATCAGATAATAATGCACCTCCTCTTTCCCATCCAGCTAAGACTCATATCATTAAACCATTTTATCTAAAAAAAAAAAAATTTCTTAGAATCTAAAAATACTTTCTGCCTTTAAATAAACTGCAAAGGGTTGGTAATCCATAAAAAAAGAACCTGTCTTTGAATTTGTTTTCAAGATTATTATCATGGTGTAGATTAAAAGTATTATTGAATTTGTGCTAGTTTAATTATTAACAATGATGGTAGCAGTTATTATTTTTATATCTTTTTCATTCCTTTCTCATTCTTCATAATGATTTCCATATACAAAAAATGAATAATTACACTGTGTGACACAATGGACGTTCATGTAGAAGAGGCAAAGGTGATTTTTATCTAGATCTCAAATGTTTCTGATTTATGACCGGCAATTGGGTTCTTTTGAAATTTTCTAAGTGGCATCCATTTTGATTGAAGTGGAACTGAACAGTAAAGGAGCAGCAATGGGTGTTTTTGGAGATCAAGTAAATGACAAAACTGGACATTGATTATTTCTGGGTGACGGTCAATATTGACCCTTGAACTGCATAAACTAAATTTCATAGGTCATTTCCATATTGATGCCAATTATCCATCAAAAATTATCTGCTCTTCACACAGCATGGGGGTGGGCTTTTTTCAAAGCTGTGAAGTAAATCCATTTTCTGGCAGTTGTCCAAAATGTCACCTACCTATCCACCTAATTGAAGCCCTGAATAAAATGTCTAAATATGAAATTGGTGACAGGGTTCATATTCTCATTTCTTGATGTACCATTTGTTTCTTTCTGAATTTCTGGGGTGAGAAGTTATGATTATTTACGTCTGTCCTGGGTGAGACAATAAACTATGTCCAGCAGCAAGGCCTCTGATCAGAAGGTTTTGAGGAGTGTGGAACCATCTTTTAATTTCTGGTGTTCCCAGGTCCACCCTGGCCTGGGGTGTTAACACCTATTAGGGTCAGCATTAAATAACCCATTATTTATGTGTGGACTATTGTCCTCATCTTTGTTGTTACTATCACCTGATGGTCTTCTGTTTGAATTTCTGGGATGAGGAGTTATCATTATTTACATGTGGACTAGTGTCCTCATCTTTGTTTTTGTTATCACAAACTTTCAGCTGTTCAAGGAGGGAACAACAGCTGAAATGTTGTGATAACAACAATAACAAAGATGAGTACAATAGTCCGCATGAAAATAGTTTAAAGTAGCATTTGTTTTTCATCTTATGAGCATGCAGCAGGCCCTTTCCCAGCTTTCTGTGTACGCCGAGAATGGGAAATTGAAATTCAATGTGGGGTAATCATTGGCCAGTCTTGGACAATGGTCACATTGTATGTATAGGTAAGACTTAACATTTTTGTCCATTTTGCTTTTATGTGTTAAAGAATAAAATATATAATTATTCAATAATAAATAGGATTATTTAAAAAATTTTTTCTTGTCGAAATATACTTAGTCCTGCCATTGACATGCACACAATTTGAAGGAAACTGAAAATTATATATGTGTCATGAAGGTGAATTTCCCTTTCTCTCTAGGTATCAGCAAAACAGAATCTAAGCCAAAATGTGTGGCCTTTTGAAGTCATTTTTATGTATTTAGACTGAATACATTTTCTAATAAATGTATTTTAAATGGACAAATAATTTAGATTTGAAAGTTGATTTTCTTGTCAGTGAAGGTATGAACTAGTTTTCAAATAAAAGAAATTGCATCTGAAAACAAATAACTGTATTGAGTGGACATTGTTTGCCAGAATAAAAATTCTTATTTTGCACTTTAAATTTTCAGCATTACCAATTTGTTCCCATTTTGTGCAATGCTTTCAGGCACAATACAATTATGACTAATTGCATAAAGAGACTCAAACAAAATGGCTGCTGTGTTTTTAAGATGCTTTCTCATTGCAGTACCTAGCGATGCTAATTATTTATTTTGGCTGAGTTACACCTGCCTTGCTTTATTGTTTATGTAAGAATCAATAAGACAGATTTCTGCCTCTAGTAGAGGCTACTTTCCCATTCCCCATAAGACTTAAAATTGACATCAGGCATAATCTATAACTGAACTTTTTTTTACATCTGCATTCTCTCAAATTAATTTTAAATAAACTGGATGAATTTCAGCCAAAATAAATGGATTTCACTCCGTTTAATTTTAAGCTTGTAGTAAACAAAAAATCAAGCATATAAATAAACAGACTTGTATTTTTCATGGATTTTTTTCATGCATATTTTTCATGGATTTTTAATTGCATATTTTTCATGGATTTTTAATTGCAGTTATCTTGATCATAGCGTCATTTTATTTATTTTTTATTTTCAATTAATTAACATTTCTGTCAAGTACACAAATTTAAATATCTGGGAAGTGTTGTAACAGATGATAGAAAATGTAAGACCAAAAGGTGAACTGGAATAGCAAAAAATGCCTTCTCAAAGCTAAACAAAGTATTAAGAAACAGGAAAATTTCATTAGAAGCAAGGGAAAGAGTACTCAACTGTAATGTAATACCAATTCTCCTGCATGGCAGTGAAAGCTTGACAATTTCTTTACAGAAGAGGAGGAAACTTGAGGCAACAGAGATAGGATTCTGCAGAAGGATGCTGAGAATGTTATGGAATGCACATGTAAGTAATGAAGAAGTTTCAAGTAAAATGGGAACAAAAGAGACATGTCTACTTAGAAGCAGAAAGGGACAGTTGAAGTTTCTGGGACACATAATGAGGAAAGAGAGCTTGGAGAATTTGACACTTACAGGACATATTGGAAGCAATAGTGACAGAGGGAAATGAGTTTGTGTAAATGAATGGTGGAAGCCAGAAGGATAGTAAAAAGACAAACATTACTAAAAGCTACAAAGGCTAGGAAACTGTGGAGAGCCATGATTACCCATGTCCTTAAAGGACAGAATAAATAGAATAATGAAAAGAAGTATTCCATTGTTTTTATTTCAGAATCTGTTTTTCTCAAAGATAATCTGTACACAAACCGGTATCCCAAAATATTTGACATGGGATAAGATCCAAGATAGAATTGCAATGAATTTGGGAAATATGGCAAACAAATACGCATGCACAGTAATTCTCTTGCATACTAAATACATCTGCCAGTGCAATTAAACTATTTTCTTCAGTTTTTTATGGCTAAGCATTTTTTGTTTTCAGAAAGGTATGCTTATTATTTTCTGAATAATTTTTTCTATGGCACGATTATTTTTGTTCCACTTCATTAAATTTATAGTATTATTTTATAAACTGAAAAATTCCAATTGTCGTGACTGTTCCAGATGGAACTTGTTTTGGGTACAAAAGGTAACGAAAAGACAGAAGGGGAAAAAAGATGGCGGAAATAGGAGAAAAAGAAGAAAGGATGTAAGGAACTAAAAGAGAATGTAGAAGAAAGAAAAAAATTAAAAGAGAAAAAGATGAAGGAAAGAGGAGAAAAAGAAAAAAAATTAAAAGAGAAGAAAGAGAAAAAGATGAAGAAAAAAATGAGAAAAAGAAAAAAATTAAAAGAAAGAAGGGGGAGAAAGATGACATAAGGAGAAAAAGAAGAAAAAACTAAAAGAGAAGGGGGAAAAGTTGAAGGAAGGAAGGGAATAAGAAAAAATAAAAGTGAAGCAAGAGGAAAAAGATGAAAAGAAAAAGAGAAAGAAGGGGAAAAAGTTGAAAGAAAGAGGAGAAAAAAAAACTAAAAGAAAAAAGGGGGAAAGGATGAAAAAAGAAGGAGGAGGAGAAGAAAAAACTAAAAGAAAAGGTAGAAAAAAGATAAAAAAAAAGAAACTGAAAGAGAAGTAAGCCAGGCCAGGAAGAAGAGAGGTAGAAGGATGAGATGAGGAGAAAGTGGTTGGTAAAAAAACAGAAACAGAAAAATTAATTAATGCAATATGAGAATAGGTAATTAAAATGGACAAGAAGTGAACTCTAATTTTTACTCATATTTTTTTTATTGCATTTTGTACCTCTAATAAAATCTTTATATAAAAAATTAAAAAAATCAAGAAAACAAAAAATGGGAGATGATCTCCCTTCTTTACCTCTCTGTGAGTGATCATGTTTCTCCACAACTTCCTGTTCTTTGTGGCACTTACAATCCTTGTTCTGCCAACCATTTACACAAAAAAAATATATATATTTTCTTTGTGGCATGACAATTTGAGTTTATTAAAAGAGAGCAGTTTCCTTTTTTTAATACATTAAAATTAACAAGCCACTCCTTGCCCCATTTAACAACAGATTGTAAGTCATTTTTGAGAGCAGCTGGCAATTTTGACCTTATTGACCCTATCAGACTTACTGTTCACAGAGGAGTAAATAGTTGTGTCATCAGCATAGATACCGAGCTGAGAACTGATGACATCAGGAAAGTCATTTATGGGAATTAGAAACAACATAGGTCCATAGATAAAACCCTGGGGAACACCTGCATTAAGGCAAAAAGATCTAGAAGAGTGGCCATTCAAGACAACTTTCATTTCAGAATTCGATAAAGACTGAATCAGTTCAAATATTCATCCAGAAATACCATAACCTTTCAATTTGTGAAGAAGACAAATATGACAAACCCTGTCAAATGCCTTTGAGATATGCAAAGCAGCAGGCCAAGTTTCATTGTTCTTATCTAAAGCTTTCACTAAAAATGGGTAAAAAAAAAAAAAGAAACCTTTTTTTTATGGCATGACTATTTTGTTTGAGTTCATTAAATGTCTACTCTTGTTTTAAAAGATGAAAAATTCTTATCGGCCTGACTTATTCCAACAGCATTTGATTTTGGTAACGACGAGTTTAAGCATCTGCTTAGTTCAGGGATTAAGTATTTATGGTCATTTATATTTGAATCTGTAAGCGTTTAGTAGGTGGCCCCTTTTTAGTAGAGATCTCTCCCTGCCCCCTTGCAGGGGATGTAGCCAGCATATTCTTGGCCTCGCAAAAAAAAGGCGCAAAAAGTATAAGGGATGCTGAGATAAATATGGGGCGTCTCAAATGAAGTATTTTAAAGTGGACTAAAACCTCATTTCTCTGGGGAAGTTGTCTTAATTTCAATTTCAGGAAAAAGTTTGCTTTTTCTTCTTTTTTTTACTTAATGTAAGGCCCAAGAGCCACTCAAAGTAGAGGGCTACTGAATTATCTTGGTTTTATGGCTGTAATAAGAAAGGGTAAGAAGCGCAGATTATGCAGATGGGATAGATAACGGTTGACTCTAGACTTGAATCATTTGACTGCAGCTTGTAAACCTTAATAAGGGCTCACTCAATTTTCAGATCTCCATCTGACTTAGAGAGCACAGAAGAGTAGCTCACTTCTAATTAATGTATTTGATCCAAGAGGGTATAATTTGGGGGATCAGTTTTTTATTTTCATCAAGTAATAAACTGATCACCCTCTTGTATTACTACATGTTTAATAACTGGGAAAAAAAAAATTTATAATTTGAAAAATTCCCATTGACATGACTAATCCAAGCTGTGCTTGAATTTGGTATGAAAGAGTTTAAAAATCTTCATGATTCGTGGATCCATATTTACGGTTGTTTAAATTTGAGTCTGTAAGCATTTGTTACGTGGCCCCATTTCATGATGATCTTACCCGACTGCAATGGATGTAGCTAGCATATTCCAGGAACCACTGATAGGACAAAAAGTATAAGGGATAATTTATTTATTTATTTATTTTTTTTTTTACAGCAGTGTTTACACTGTACAAAGACTGAGGGCCACTTACAGAGTAAGAGGCACAGTTTATGCGGATATTCATAGAAGATAACGATTAACCCTAGACTTGAACAGGTTAAGATTATAGCAATCAGGGAATCATCTTGGGAATCAGTTTCACATTTACAGGAAGAGGCTGTTCGAGTGGAACTTCTCACCACTGAAATACGGAGAGAATGAGGTTGGTTTGCTACAATGTGTGTGGTATGGCGGGTCCTGGATGTGAAGGTGAGGCCTGGCAAAACCAAGAAATGCAGTTCGTCTGAGCATTTTCCATGAAAGTAGCAACAGAACAGTGAGAATTTTGCTATATCTTGGCTATTGGAGAGAGGTTGGAGGGTGGAAAATAATTTGTCACCCACAGGAACTTGGAAATGCTTTTGGACTCAATCAAGACTCCATTTTTGAACTGATCTGGCTCTTATAAATGTAGACAATATTACAAAGAGTTAGGTACTTACTGTAACAGTACAGGGAACTAACTATTTTTTGTGTATTTTTAAGGATGAATCATATGAACGAGTTTTACTTGAGGGAGTTTAAGGCCCAATAGTGTCTCAAGGTACGGAGCCTTCCCAAGGAGACATCCATTCATCATGACTGGTGGTCATTTGGGGTTTCGATCATTAATGATGGAATGTAACTTGTTTGTTTTTCAAGGCATTGAATGGAACCACCCAGTTTTTTCCCCCCACTGAGAAGTTAAAGCTAGATTGGATGTGAGATCAGCTGCCAATCTCTGGTCATCACAAGTTTTGGAGGTGCCCCATATATTGTTTTTTCATTAGCATAGATATTCACAAATGATCCGAGTATACTGTTAGGCATATCATTTATGTAAAGTAAAAAGAGGCTTGGTCTAAGATGTGACCCCCTGGGAGATGCCTGCATTGATTGCTAGGGTTTCGGAAAACTGTCCGTTAGTGTGATATCTCAAAGAGAGTATTTTGAAGAGGACTAAGGCCTTATTACCCAAGGGAATTATTTGTCTAATTTTATTTTCAGGAATTTTTTTTTTCACTATTATTCACTCGATACAAGGCCCAAGAGCCACTCAAGGTAGAGGGTTACTTAATTAGGTTGTTTTTATCTATGTAAGAGGAAAGTGTAAGAAATGCAGATTATGAGGATAGGATAGATACTGGTTGATGCAAGACATGAATAGATCATGACAGCAGTGATCAAGGAAGCATTTTCTTGGGAGTCTGTTCTACAAAGCAGTGGCTCTTGGGAAGAAACTGTCCAAATGGAACTTCCTTCTTACTAATGGAATACGAAGGGAACAAGGATGAGTTAACCTTGCGTAGATATCATGGTGGATCTTAGCCATAAAGATCTGAACTCTTTTCTTTTCACAAAGATGTTCACCCTCTATGAGAGCCACTTGAGGTAGAGGGTTACTGAGTAAGAGGTATTGTTTATGGGGATATGTGGGGAAGATAATGGTTAACCCTACACATGAACAGGTTAAGATTGTAGTGATTGGGGAAGCATCTACTTGAGAGTTAGTTCCATTGAACATAGATTCATCGGAAGAAGCTGATCAAGTGGAACTTATATCTCATCAATAAAACACAAAGGGAATAAGGGTGGTTCACTATAATATGCATAGCATGGCAGGTCTTAGCTGTAAAGGTTAGTACTATTGGAACTAAGGAATGTAGTTTATCAGAACATTTTCTATGGAAATAGCAGTAGAGAAGCAAGAGGCTTGCAACGTTTCATCTGCAGGAAAGAGGTTGTAAATAATTTGTCATCTACAAGGACACAGAGATGCTTTTGAATTCTATTGAGACTGCAAAGTGAAGACTGCACATCTCATGCACATATATGCATCCGTCCTCCATTCCTTGGCCTGATCTGGCTCTTTTAAAGGTGGATGGTAGCAGGGGGAGTCAGGTACTTATATATAGGGAACCGACCATTTTTCCAGCCTCTTTCCACTTGAGGACTGCATTGAGTTTAAGTCCCAATAGGTGCTCAGGGCATGGGGGTACCCTGGGGGAACATGGTGAAAGTAAGGAACATTTTTCATAGAAATGGCAGTAGTTGTGAGAGTCTTGCAATATTTCATATGTGGGAAAGGGTTTGAAGGGTGGAAAGAATTTCTTCCCTCCCAAAGGGCTGTGTAAATGCTTTTTAACTTCATCAAGGCTGGAAAGTGAGGATTGTACAGCTCCAACCCAAATATGGCAGTAGTACTGCATTTTTGACGTGTTCAAATTCTTGTAAAGATAATGCATGGCTGGTATTGGGCATGAATAATTATCTCTGTGGTATGGTTATTTCATTCCATTTCTTTAATTATTTCACACCATGCAAGGCGGGAATGCCACTAGTATGCAGAGGGTTATAGGGTGTGAAAGTGAGAGAAAAGACTGAGTATAGGGAGGATTGAGGAAAGGACAAAAGATGAACGGGATTAAAGAAGATAGAAAATGACAATTGACATTGCATTTAAATTTTGTTAATCATTTCACCTCAGGCAAGGCAGGAATGCCACTAGTACGCAGGGAGTTACAGGGAGTGAAAGTGAGAGAAAAGACTGAGTATTGGGAGGATTGAGGAAAGGATGAAAGATGAACGGGACTCAAGAAGATAGAAAATGGCGATTAAGGTTGCATTTAAATTGTTGAAGATTCTAGTTATTGGGAAAGCAAGTAAACATAAAGGAGTTCCACAGGTGGGAAGTGCAAGAAAAGAAACTGTTGGAGTAGAAGTGGTGGTTACATTTAATTATTAAAAAGGCAGGACTGAGATGTCAGTCTAGTAGCATGCTTAAATTCTTTTAGCTGGGACACCAGGGAAAAAAGCTCATCAGAGCACTTGCTATAAATATATGTGTAAAAAAGACAAAGGGAAAACATGCCACATTGGTAAGAAAGTGACTGAAGTCAAGGTGCCTGATTAGGATCAAATGCATTACAGGTCCTTTGGATTTTGTCAAAAATCCCTGAATGTACAGCAGGAGCACCAGATCAGATACAGCAGCAGTATTCAATGGTTGACTTGTAAATATGCAAGATGGATTCTGATGAGAAAAATTTTCTAGCATGACACAGTGAGCCAACTTTCCTTACAGTAGATACATTTATTGATTTGACGTAGTCACTTCACTTCATATCATTGGGAAAATTTAAGGCCAAGAAATCAAAGTCTGTTGCTCTCTAGGAGTTTAACATCAGCCATGTTGATGTCAGGCAGAAAAGTTTTTCTGTGGTGGTAAAATGAAAGCAGTTTTGTTTTTGGAGGCATTAAAATTTACAAGTCATTTGCTGCCCCAGTTAACCACTGATTGGAGGTCCTTTTCAAGAGCAGTGGCAGGTAACTCATTTGATAACTTGGTAAATTCTGACCAGCATGAATATTCCTGATGAAATTTGATCAGAAAAGAGTACCTTTTTACCTGACATCTTGGCTTCAGTCACTTTTCCACTGCTATAATGTAGCTTCACTGCTGTTTCTATAAATACTTCCATGATAATTATTCTGAGGAACTTTCCTCTATGGTACCAAGTCTCAATGAATTTAAGTGTAATACTAGATTGACAGCAAGGTCTCATCATTTTACAGTTGGAATGGCTTGATATAACTATTTGCTAACAATTTCTTCTCTCACACTTCTCACTTGTGCAACTCTCGTTTGGCTTCTTGTTTTCTAATCAATTCTGATCTTCAAAAATTTAAACGAAATGCCAATAGTTATCTTCTGTTTTCTCAATTCATGTTCTTTTATTTTTCTCACTTCTTAATAATAATGTTTTTTCTCATATTCTTTCACACTTAGTACCTCTGCGTATTAGTGGCTTTATTGCCTTGCTTGGGGCAAAATTTAAATGATATGTCAATCATTATCTTCTGTTTTTTCAATTCATGTTTTTTTATATTTTTAACTTATTAATGTTTCTTCTCATATTCTTTGACATTTAATACCCCTGTGTATTTGTGGCTTTATTACCTTGCTTGGAGTGAAATGATTAATATATTCACACATATATAGGCAAGGTAATGTACAAACACACACTCACTCTTGTATAGAGGATATTAATAAAATTGATGTTGCCCTGTGTGCAATGTTTTTGCTCATCAGTTCTATCTTGTCTCTTCTCAAGACGCTTAAGGTCTTTGAAGGTCGGATGGAATGATGTTGTGTGCCATACTTGGATCGCATTCCATTTAATGACTCTAACTTTAAAGCTATTCAAACTATTCTACTTATCAAAATGTATGAAATCCAGATGTCAACAATGCTAGCAAAACAAAGCAGAGAAAAAGAAACAAGAAAGGAAACATTGCTTAGGAAAATCTGCTTGAAAGAGAAAATGTAAAAAAGAAAATGGTATTTACCTGCATGATATTTTAAAAGAAACTGTTGGACAATGTTGTAATGTGAAAGACTATAAGAGGAAAGAGAGGGAAGGAGAGAATAGGAGTTGGAGAAAAGGAGAAAAGAAAGAAGGTGAAAAAGAAGGAATTGAGGGAGGGAAAGAAAGAAGAAAAGAAGAAGAGAATAAAAGGAAGGAAGGAAAAAAGGGAATGGAAGGAGGGAAAGAAAGAAAAGGAGAAGAGAATAAGAGAAGGGAAGGAAAAAGAGTGAGCAAAACAGAGGCAGATAAGAAAGAAGACAGAAGAATTCCACATGCATTTTCATAATAAAAATCATTTCCAATGCATTTTTGTAGTTAATACCTTTTCCAATGCATTTTCATAGTAAACTCATTTACAATGCATTTTTATAGTAAACTAATTTCCAATGCACTTTCATATTAAAATCATTTAGAATGCTTTTTTATAATAAAAATCATTTCCAATGCTTTTTTATAATAAAAATCATTTCCAATGCATTTTTATAATAAAAATCATTTCCAATGCATTTTCATAATAAAAGTCATTTCCAATGCATTTTCATAATAAAAGTCATTTCCAATGCATTTTCATAATAAAAGTCATTTCCAATTCATTTTCATAATAATAATAATCATTTCTAACATATTTTCCTAATAATAATCATTTCCCATGCATTTTCCTAATAATAATCATTTCCAATGCATTTTCCTAATAATAATCATTTCCAATGCATTTTCATAATAATAATAATCATTTTTAGGTCCCTTAGTCAATGATGTTTAGTGAAATAGTCTCCTTAATTGTTACTACTGAGTTGTGAGTTCAATCCTCACTGGATGCCTCATACAAAACTTAAATGTTAAATAATCCAACAATAATTGATATTATTTAAAATCCCCCAACCCAACCATTTCCTCCCTTAGAGTAATTTTGTGTGTTGATAAATACTTTTGGCAGAAGACAAAAAAATATTTAATCAAATATCATTGAATTTTATAATGTTTTTATAAATATTTTCTTTATAAATATTTTCTTTATGTCATCAGAATTGTCTTCCACACCATCCCAAAAATGTCTCAAGAGAGCTAGAATTTTCTCCATTCTTGAGATAGTCGGTATTAAATGCTTCTCATGGGATTATGGTTTTCCTGTTCAAAGTATGGAAGCTACTGACATGGTGCAATTTGTTTTCAACAGCCAATCTGTTGATGTCAGCCATCAAGTTTTCATTACATCGGTGGTAGACAAGAAGATCTGCAAGTATAGCTCTCTGGCTGACAGACACAAGTTCATAGCTGTGGCCATGGAGACAGCTGGCTTGGTAAGTTATAGGATGATGAAACTGTTTTGTCTGATTGGCTCGAGAGCAGTTGCAGTCACCGATACCAGACATGAAATGGCCTGGTTGCTCCAGTGTATCTCCTATGCTTCCAATTCAAGCAGCAATTTCTCAATCATCACAGCTGGAAGCAGAAACTTGACTGTTTCAATCCCCTACTAAAATATTGCAAGTTGGTACTACTTAAATAGACTGGTCCACTCATAAAAAATAAGAAATATTTTGGGAGAAAACAGGTGACTGATATAAAAAGAGCCTGGTTACTCCATTGGATCTCCTATGCTATCAATTCAAGCAAACGTTTCTCAGTCCTTACAGTTGGAAGCAGGGGCACTACAACATGTAAAGGTTTGCAAGCTTGTTCCACTATATCAGTTATGACTGAATAGTGAATTCAATCCTTACTGGGTGCCCCATACTTTCAGTCTTGTGCTATGCTTTGAAAATCATTTGGGGCACTTTGATGTGCTGTAATGGTTAGCAAACTTATTTCTCTAGATCAATTACGACTGAATAGTGAGTTCGATTCTCACTGGGTGCCCCATATTTTCAGCTTTGTCCCACATCTAAGCCATGCTAAGAAAATCATCATCACAGCTGGAAAAAGAAATTTGACCATTTCAATTCCATACTAAAATATTGCAATTTCTAAAACCCAAGTTGTCACTACTGGTCCACTTATAAAAAAAAAATAGGAAATATTTTGGTAGGAAATAAATTTTATAAATTAGTATTTTTTAGATCTTCCTTAAGCTATAGAACTTGTCAGAATCAAAAATTATTGATTTCTCATTGATTTAAAAGTAAGGTCTTGTTTATAATATCAATACAGTATAAAATCAATACCTGACTTTTTAAAAGTCAAGTTATTGGCCTCAGGTTAAGTTACTTTGCTCTTTGTCTATGTCATGTTTGAAACTGCTTTTCTTAAATTATTTCCACTCAAGTAAGGTAATGGAAGCCACTAAAATACAAACGGTTAGTGACGTAAGAAACCGAGATGGCAATAATATCCGGATTCAAATAGAAGATGATGAATGATGTCACATTTAAATTTTTGAAGTTGACAGGAGAATAAGAAAATTTAAGAGTGTTCTACAAGAAAAAGAAACTATTAACATAGAACTTACAGTTCTAACAATTCCAACACTAAAATGATGAGACCTAACTGCCAATCTAGTACTGCATTTAAATTCAAAAAGTCAATGTACTAAAGAGGAAAGCTAATCAGAACAATTACCATGAAAATATTTATAGAAAAGGCACAGGGAAGCTACATTTTGGTGGTCTTTGATAACATTTTAATTTTCTGATATTTTAATAATTTTTTTTTTTTTTTTATATAAAAACATTTTTCCTCTGGGATTTTTTTGGGGGAAGCATTTTTTGTCTGAGATCTTTTGGGGGGAGAAACACCTGTACAAACATTTGAGGTTCGTAATTATTTGTCTTAAATTAAAAATTAACAGATGTATCATTTCATTAATTTACCTCAAATTTTATTTTTTAATTAAAATGTATTTTATCTGTTTGTTCTTTATTTAAAAGAAAACATTTTGTAATCTCCTCTCCTGCAGGAAATCCATTTTCAAATGCAAAATCACTAAGTCCAAAAACTCTGTAAAAGCAGGGATTGATTTGATACTATATTGCTATTATAAATGGGACCCTCTTCTAAATTGATAAAAATTTCAATATTTTTATTCTGACAATTAGAAGTGGGTGTCCTGTTTATAATATCTATATGGTGTTAAATTGATCCCTGACTTTGAAGAGTTACTGGCCTTAGGTTAAATCAATTAGCTGTTGTTTACAAATGTCCAACAATCCTGGGTAAGACAATAAACTACATCTGTGTTACGGGTAAGAAAATAAACATTTGATAGCAAGGCCTTTGATCAGAAGGTTTTGAGCGTCGAACCACCTCTTTATTGCTGGTGTTCCCTATTTCACCCTGTGGTAGCCCCTGTCATGGTCCTAGCTATGGGCAAATAGTTAAACACCCCCCCGCCAAAGGGGTCAAAACACTATGAAAGTATAAAGATAGGTTTTAATACCAGCAATGTTTTTTTTGGAAAAATTACTAGCAGTAAATTTTTGAAAAAGAAAAATTATTACTAGCAGTACATTTTTGAAAAAGAAAATATTATGAGCAGTACATTTTTGAAAAAGAAAAATATTATGAGCAGTACATTTTTGGAAAAAAAAAATTATTACCAGCAATACATTTTTGAAAAAAATATTATATATAATACATTTTGGAAAAAAAAAGTGTTACCAGTAATAAAAAAAAAAAAAGTGTTACCAGTAATAAAAATAAAAAAAGTATTACCAGTAATAAAAATAAAAAATTAAATAACTCATAGAGGTTGATATGCCACAAAACGAAACGAACCAAACCAAACCAAACCAATGTCCAATTTGAAAATGTGCTAATATTGTCGATATCTCCATAAATTTTCAATTTTTTAAAACTTTTTAAAACTCTTTTGTACGGGATTTTTTTAAATATGTGTACAAAAATTTGAGGTTCATAATTATCTTAAATTATTGTGAACTAGAGAAATATTTGTCTATATTTCTGAGATGAGGTATTATATACATTATTTACATTATTTGGACTATTGTCCTCATTTTAGTCGCCATATTTATTACAGTGTTTCAGCCGTTGTATGCTCCGGCCTTCTTCAGGTGGTTGGGATGTCGCACTGAACCCTTTATTTCACTCGCTTAGAACTTGGAGAGGGGAATTAACAGGAGATAACTGATAACTGACATCCATTAAACATGTCATGTGGAACTAGAACAGTCTACCCCAGTGGGTGAAATAAAGGGTTCAGTTCGACATTCCAACCACCTGAAGAAGGCTAGAGTGTACAACAACTGAAATGTAATAAATATGGTGACAAAGAGGAGGACAATAGTCCAAATAATGTAAATAAGGAGAAATATTCTTGAGTTTTTTTGGCATTTGACAGAAAGTTACATCCCCCATAAAAGATTTTTTTTATTTTATTGTATTTTGTCATATAGGGATAAAGTGTCACTGCTGACATTTGGATTTGAACACAGATCACCAGAGAGCAAGCACAGTCAATCACATCTTGAAATAATTAGATCACGTGACGGGTAAAGGAAAAATATATATATGGGAATTAGCAGCGTTTGACTGGAGATTGTTCAAAGGCATTACTATTGTTGTATCTATGATTTACAAAGTCTCTCCCACAAATGGTCATTACAAAAAATTTACTATAAGTCTTTTATATTTTTATACACATATATCTTCCTGGCATCAGTTTAAACTGACACCATCTTTTATTCTGTATATTTAAGCTATAATCATAGACTTTTTGGAAATGGAGAATTTCACTAAACTATGTTAGAAAATTTTCAAGTTTTCATCTGAAATCAAGCAATATAAACTTTAAACAAAATAGTGACAATATATGAAAAAAAAAAAAACAGGTATCAGTCGAACCCATATTCTCCAGGAGTCTGTTTAAACTGACACTTTTTTTCTATATACCCGAACTGTAATTTTAAACTATAATTTCGGGAAGTGAAAATTTCACTGAAATATGATAGAAAACTTCCAATATTTCATTTGACATCAAGAACATGCAAATCTTAAGCCAAATGATAACAATATATGGTAAAAGTAAGTGTCAGTTCAAACTGAGGCCCAAAGGATATAGGTGGTGGCTGTGGGAAAAAGTATAGCTGAAAACTTGCTCCATCACATAGTCTCATCATTGTTTTCATGGAAATAAATATGAGGCATTACTATTGGAGCACCCATAATAATTGCTGTGGTTAAGGTAATTTGAATAAAAATGAGCAAGTGAAGGAAAATTGTCTGCTAAGTGGTTGGACAATTATGGAGAACATTTTATTCTCAACTGCTTATGAGATCGCGAAGAAAAGCTTAAAAGGTTTTTTATGAAACTTTAATGGAT